GGTAACGAGCCCCTGCTGGCCCACGTGGGGCTGGTGCAGTTGTGGACGGTGCCTACTCACACACAAACAATCCAGGGGGGCTGGAGCGAGTCCTCAGGAAGCAGGTTAGTGTTTGTGCATGAGTGCAGATGACAGCCAGGGGCAGCAGAGCAGGCAGCCTGAATTTTCCATTCGCTTGCAAAGCCACATGGGGCTGAAACTTAAATGGGCTGCCCTCACATTTTATTGCTTGACTTATTTGCTGTCTTTGCTGATGTTATCTGTAACTGGTTTTAAGGCACATGTGACGCTGGGCTGTTAGAGGTATGATACTTCCATCCATCCCCCAGCCTCACCTGGTGGCTGCAGGGTGGACACTGAGTGGCAGTGTCACCTCAGGTCATGTATTCTGTGATGTGGGGAAGGGTTTAAGGGATTTGTTAAGTCAGGGATGGGGTTTGGGGCAGTTTTGAACCCTGAGTGCTCAGCGGCTCCTCTTCCCTGCGCTCAGGAGAAGGGGCTGTGGGATGTGTGGACATCTACTGCCAGCTTCCAGCACTGGATAATCACAGAAGGGCTCCTTGGCTTTCACTGCTCCATGTCCTCCAGCCTCCCCAGCACCTGAGTCCCAGTGTGGGCATCCCTCTCAGTGTCGCACTCCCCGCTTCCCCCTGGTTCACTGTGAGATAAAGGGGTTGTTTTCCTTCACAAGTCTGGCACAGCTCAGTTCCACAGGCAGCAACTCCAAGGCCAGCCAAGATGATACATGGGATCTGCTGGGTCTGGGGTGGTATCCTAGGGAAGGGTGAGGGTGTGTAGGATTTACTTACTCCCATTTTCCATAATAAATCCTAGTGGGAACTGAATGTTCTCAGGTCAGAGCCTGAGGCAAACTCCACACCACATTTCCCTCCTGCTCTGCCCTTGGGACTTAATCTCAAATCTGTTATCGCCGCCCCATCGGGTGCCGGGAGGCAGGGATACCGATTACAGCGGGTTTGATATCTCCTCCAGCTAGTTTTTTTCCCCCTGACCAGCTCCAGGTGGTTCAAGCCGATTCCTTTCCCCCATTAGCAGCAGTGGTGGGTGGGTGCTGGTTGCCTCACTCTGGTTTTGCTGGGTATAAAGCCCCAGTGAGCCCCTTTCTGCCCCATCCGTCTCCTGGCAGTGCCTTGGGCAGGGGCAATGGCTGAGCTGCCCATCATGGAGCTGCCCCCAGCCCGCTGCAGTGGCCGCTTCACCATCAGCACCCTCCTGGGCACAGAGGAGGGTGGTCGCGGTCCCTATGTGCCCGCGGAGGGCTCTGGGTGTGACAGTGCCCAGCCCACCCAGCTCTCAGGCAGCACCATCTGCACCAGGACCTTCGGCTACAACACAGTGGATGTCGTGCCTGCCTATGAGCACTACGCCAACAGCAAGGGGGTGGGAGACTCTAGGAAGGGCAGGCCCTCGCTGGCAGACCTGCACTCCATCCTCAAGGTAAGGTGGGATTTAGCATCCCCTGCCCATGCTGCTGGTCCCTGTGGCATCTTCATGGTTGTGGTGCTTCATATCCTGCTGCTTGGTGCCAATGTGCACGTCCCTGCGAAGGCTTTAAGAGAAGGCAGAGAAATAAGCCAGCTGTTCTCCAGAGCTCTGCATCCCCGGGCACCCCTGGGTGCCTTTCCCCACCCATACCTGCCTCCTGCTTGTCCCCACAGCCAGACCCAGGCCACCTCTGTGCACCCGTGTCCGACCTGCAGCGGAGCAATGGGCTGACAGAGGCCAGCCCAGAGGAGGCACCGGGGGAGTCAGGCACAGACCCTGCACCAGAGCCCGTTCGCTTCGGCTGGGTGAAGGGTGTGATGGTGAGTGCAACTGGTCCCATGGGAGCAGCCTCTTAAGGAGAGCTGGCATGGCCCTAGCACCCGCGGGCTGACGGTCAGTGTTCCCTCTCTGTCCTGCCAGATCCGCTGCATGCTGAACATCTGGGGAGTCATCCTCTACCTGCGCCTGCCCTGGATCACTGCCCAGGCAGGAATCGGTGGGTGCTGCAGCACAGCAAGGGCAGGATGGCAGCACTGAGCTCCCCATCACCCAAAGCAGCATCAAGCACAATGGGATGGGGTCCTTGTGTGTCTCTGAGGGAAGACAGGGGGTCTATGGGTCTAGGAGTTGGATGGAGATGGACACAGGATCACAGACATGCCCTCTCCCTGCAGCCCTGACGTGGGTCATCATCCTGATGTCTGTGACGGTGACCACCATCATCCGCCATATCCACCAACGGCAAAGTGAAGTCAGGTACCGTGTGTACGTGTGTGTCCTGGCACGGGCCACAAGGTGCAGAGAGGCCCCAAAAATGTGTTGGGGAGGCAGAAAACACCATGGGGTGCTCCCACCGCCTCAGGAGGCACCTACTTCCTCATCTCGCGGAGCCTCGGGCCGGAGCTGGGCGGCTCCATCGGGCTGATTTTCGCCTTCGCAAATGCGGTGGCCGTGGCCATGCACACCGTGGGCTTTGCCGAAACCGTCCGGGACCTGCTGCAGGTAAGACAGTGTCTGCGCGTGTCCCCTGGGTCCCACCTCTGTGCACAAGCAGCATTAATTACTAATTAATATTGGACCACTGACAATCAACTGGAGGCTCCTAAAGTCACAATAGTGCTGGTGGTTTAGTAAGGGCGAGGGTTATTCCCATGCTGAGGATGGTTCCCCCTCCCCAGGAGCACAACTCCCTCATCGTGGACCCCACCAATGACATCCGCATCATTGGAGTGGTCACTGTGACGGTGCTGTTGGGCATCTCCCTGGCTGGCATGGAGTGGGAGGCCAAGGTAACCCTCACTTCTGCCACTCACCTTATTCCCCATGGTTGATAAGAGCCATCCCCACTGCCCCCCCAGGCACCCAAGCAGCAGGGGATGCCCATAACTCTGCAAAAACAGGCTGGGGTTTCTCTAAACACATTATTTTCCCTCTCAGTTCCCAAACCCCAATCCTCATCTGGCTCTTTCCGCTCTGGCAGGCACAGATACTGTTCTTCCTGGTCATCTTGGTTTCCTTCATAAATTACCTGGTGGGGACAGTGATCCCTGCCACTGCCGAGAAGCAAGCGAAGGGCTTCTTCAGCTACCGAGGTGGGTCAGCAGGGCCAAGCACATGGCTGGAGCCTGGCTCCTTGCTGCTGCTGGGGGAGAAGCTTGCTATGGGAAGGTGCTCCTCACTGAGAGATGTCATCAAGAGCTTGGTGTCTTCCGCCCATGGGTTACCTGCCATCAGCGGTGTGCCTCCATCCAACACCAAGATGCTTCAGCCAGGAGACAGGTGGTCAGGAGATCCCAAATGCTTCTCCTCTGCTTCCTTCCCAGCTGACATCTTTGCTCAGAACTTTGTGCCTAACTGGCGGGGACCCGAGGGCTCCTTCTTCAGCTTGTTTTCCATTTTCTTCCCATCGGCTACCGGCATCCTGGCTGGGGCCAACATTTCGGGTGACCTGAAGGTGGGTTTGATCACTGAGCCGGCATTTCTCAGAGATGAAGCCCTGTTTTACCTGGGGCTTTGTCTTTGATCCAACTTAGACCCTAGTTTATTTCTTCTAGAAGGCTCAGCCAGGAGATACTCCATGGTTTTGTGTTGTAGTGAATTAGAATTCCTCTTGTGTAGCAGCCACAATTAAAACAGCATTTTAGCGGTGCTGCTGCAAAGCCATCTGACATCTCTGTGACTTCCTTGGGCAGGATCCTGCTGTGGCCATCCCCAAGGGCACTTTGATGGCCATCTTCTGGACCACTGTGTCTTACTTGGTGCTTTCTGCTACGATTGGTAAGCAGCACGTCCTCAGATAGGCTGGGTAGGACCAGCTGCCCTGAAATGGGAGGTCTGGGAGGATGCAGGTGGTGGAATCCAGGAGCAAACCACAGACACCAGCACTGATACCCCATGGCAAGTGCCACAGGCACCAGACCTCATTCCTGTCCCCATGCAGTCCCGGGAGGGCAACAAAGCTCATGGCGTTCATAGAATCCCAGAGTGGTTTGAATTGGAAAGGACCTTAAAGCTCATCCAATTCCAACCCCCTGCCATGGGCAGGGACACCCTTCACCAGACTAAG